ATATTCCGTAGCGAATATCGATTGTTTGCGCCGCGGGCACGTTTTACTATCGCTAGTAAAACACGAACTAGTCACGTCGGCGGCGGCGGCAATTGATCTGTTCTTTTGCAGTCATAGAAACGCTTCGTGCCGCCCTTAGATCCTTTACGGCGGCCGCACCGACTTATTCCGTCTATCTTGTCGATATATTTCGAATAAACCAGGATGAAATTCCTCGACCGTTCATCTTTCCATAAGATGTAGAGAAACGAGAGTGAATTCACGTTAAAGCATACATGCTTGAAATAAACAGCAACATTTAATTGTATGAAGTCAAAAAACACGAATTTGAAATTACTGTTGCGTTGATTAATAATAACTTCACAAACTTTAATTCTACAAAATAAAAAAATAAAATTTTACAAAATTTAAAAGATCAATTTTTAAAAATTCTAAATAATGAAGAATTTAAGAATATTATTGAAACATTTTGCCAATCCATAAGTATAAATAGTAAGAAAAGTATATTAAGATATTGTAAAGATCAATTATCGGTATTTCACTCTTTAATACCAATTCAAATATAAATACTGAAATCAACCTATCAATACGAAAAGTAATCACCAGTATTTAATATCGAAAGTCAAGTGGATGTTTCCTGAGGATATACTTAATAAGAGAAATTATCTTCACATTGATCATGCCGCTGCGAGAAAAAAGAATACAGATAAAGCTTTAATAAAATTACATTACCATATTTCGCGCAATGAATAACAATCATCGTTTAATGGAAATTTACAGCTATTTGCATCATGAAATGAATAGATGGATTCAACTTTTTTTGTATTGAAATAATATTAAATATCAAGATACGATATTTACTTTATGCAGTTATACAATAAAATTTTGGTATATGTAATTAGTTATTTTGTATATGTAGTTATTTTGGTTATGTAATTAGGTTTTATAAATCATATATGTGTGTATGTGTCTGTACATGTGTAATATACTTCTCATTGATTAAGCGATCCGCTTTTATACTTGGTCTCGTGTATGACAATCGCATATTTTACATATTTTTGCATCGCGTCGCGAAATAATCATTTCCGCGGATAATATTTAACGTCGAATGCATGCTCACGAGTCAAGTTCTCGTCGTTAAAACGAAACAACCGACCGGCTCGTAGCTGATAAATGTCTATCTTATCCTTTTATGGCATCTCGGCAATAACTTAGTTTATGGTTGTCGCCGATATCGAGCAAATGACAAGTGCAAACAATAATCCTACGTATGACGCGGAGTAATAATTCCAATTACGAGTGTTAATTAGGTAATATGAGACTGTTTCTGACAGCTTGTAAAACCGACTAAAAGAAGATATGATAAGATTTATGAAGATCAATATGGAGAACAAATCTAGCGTTAATTCTGCATTTTGATTTATACATAAATAATTGATATTTATTATATACAATATTAATAGCAAAAGCTCACTACTTGTAATATAAATTGTAAATATTTTTTCGAAACTTAAAATTATAAAAATCTTTCTCAGGTAGACATGCTTACCTGTGCTTCAAATTTATCAAGACCTATTCTATGTATAATTAATATTAAGTGTTTATTTATGCTATACTTATGTTTGTTATATTATTTTCTCAAAATTAATGAAACTCAAAATCGCCATACATCTGTCCTTAAATACGGCAAATAAGAAATCTATATTTTAAAGGATAAAGAATTTTGCCAATTTTCCAATGTGAACACCTCATATGTGCGTGTCGGTTTCAAGATAAAGAAACAGCGCCGATGGCATGTCGCGCCGTTACACAAAGTTTAACCATCGATAGAATGGGCCGATTGTCGAATCGCAGTCAGGGTTGAACGTCGATCGAGAGAGAGAGAAAGAGAGAGCGAGCGAGAGAGAGAGAGAGAGAGAGAGAGAGAGAGAGAGAGAGAGAGAGAGAGAGAGAGAGAGAGAGAGAGAGAGACCAATAGTGAATAGTCGATGCAATCGTGCGCGACAGCCACGGCATTGAGGCCAGCCGCAAAGCCGTGCTGCGCGTGGCTCCTCTATATACAGAGATAATCCGTAATCCTTCAATTATTATCGAATTACAATAATTATGGCCGGATGTGTAATACGAATGCCCGATTTCCTCGATCGTCTCGATGTAGCGATAGGAATGATGCGTCGTAAAGTTTTATTTTTGTTAGAGTATACTTTATTAGTTATAATATCAGTTATGTCTGATGAATGTGTCAATGTCACCGACAATAAGACACTTGAGGTGTATCGCAGAACATAAATTATTTTTCTTCATGTTACAACTTGGACGCTATATTTCATCCAGAACTAGGATCCACCCCTTCCGATCATTTTAGACTTTAATTTAGTAGAAGTAGAGTAATTTCTCTGCCTTTTTCTCTCCAGTCTCACGGACGACGTTGTACTCGCTGTAGGTTGCGTCCATATAACTTGGCCGACCACTTCAAAAATCAGGAAATACCCTAGCGAACACATCTTACCCCTCGTCCACCTTGTACATAATCCGCTCTCTCACTCTAGTTTTCACCCTTTCCTTCCCTCCCTCCTCTTTCTCTCTTTCTCTCTCTCCTCTTTCTGTCCCACCAGATCGTTGCTGAGTCGCGTCGATGTTGGTGCTCCCACTCTAGCTCTGAACTCTGGGAAGTCACACGCACACACTGGCAAATAACGCCATGGAGCCAGTGTGGTAGGCGTGGCCATCTTGTCATTTGTCTCTTCTACTTTCCCCGAGGCGTTAGGGGATCCCCGGGATGGCGCTCTCTGTTCCTAGCTTGACGTATGTACTGCCGCTACAACCCCCGTTTTCGTATCGCGCTCTCTTCGTTTTCCGCGCGCCCGCCGCGTTCTCCACCATCGAGTACTTTAGAGCCGCGTCCCTCCTCACCCGTTCACCCATCATACCCATCGGATGGCCATTCTCCATCTCTTGCCGTTTTCTTTTCCATTTTCCCTGCACATCCATCGCTCTCTTCCACACGCTCTCTCGGAAGACGTTTCCTCCCCCGCGCCATTCGTTGCGCGACAACTTCTTGACGCTAGTCACGACGTCCTCGGCTTCCCTTTGCCGACAATTCTCTTACGAGGATCACGCACGGCCCACTTCGTCTTTGACCCTTTCGGATCTTGTTCCCTTTCGTGATAAGAACGAGTCATGTCCTCCAAGTAGATTACAGAGAAATAACCAGGAGGTTATTTGAGTATTGCAATATTTATCGTGATCGTGTAACAAATGGAGAATGTAATTGAGTTCAATTTGCAATTCGAAACTATTTTTATTTGATGGATTCTAAAGCTAAAAATGAACTCTCGTTCGCAACTGATTTTAGCCAAACTGATATTAGCCTCTTTTCTTTGTTGCTATTTTCAACTTTATGATATTTGATTGACGAATGTATTACTTAGATTTAAATTATTGCCTGTTGCATTCAAGACTGTTTTCGAGATTATCAATCGATAATCGCTCGATCTGCTGCAAAATATATTCTTTCTTATTTAGAATAAGAAATCGCTGAAGTAATGATATAATAAATTCTAAATTCTCAAACTAATCGCATATGAATGTCGCATTAACCGTATCATTTGACAGTAGATTAGATAGACGAAAATTCGCTTCTTCTCAAAATGTCTCGCGCACGCGTGCATATACGACTGACAAACTCGAAGCATTATTGTAATCGAGTCACACCTCTTGTGGAATTGAATAGTACGCCCAATATAGACGATTGCAGATGTCATTGCAAGCCGATATTTGCTCCGACCGATAAACCGAACGATAACAGCTCGGTGGTCTCGATTTTAAACACGACTTTAATATCAAAGTTACCGAATCGATAGCGCAATTCAATTATTCAAAATAAAACAACAATTATCAATTAGCTAGTCATGATTATAAAAAAATTCACAATTGCACAACAATAGATATTCAAACTGTCATCCTATTTTTTTATTTGTACGTGAAAATTTTTAGATAAATAAACAGTATATGTATCGTATATAGCGGTGAATTTTTTACAAAGGCAAAGGGTAACCATCAAAGCTACTTCACCGGCAACAAATCGCGATCTTTCATAGTCAAGACGATACGAGACTGCGAGAAACAACAACATAATCGTCGTAATACGGCAAGATCCGCAAGATCGCTAGATCAAGGGAAGGGAAGAGAGAAAATACCACGTGTGCGTGTGCGTTTGTCCGTAGGGGCAAGCACGCTGGCCACTGTCGCCACCGTAGGAGAGATGACGCTGGGTCAAAGGTGGGGTTGGAGTCCGAAGGTAGGGATGGACCACAAGGGGGGGTGCGCAACAGTGATACCGAGTGTTCGCCGGCGTATGACCGTCTTGGTTGATCATCTCGCAAAAAAGAGACGCGAAAGATCGCGGCAGCGTAAAAAATACAAAATGATCGAGGACAAGAAAGAGACGAAGAAAATTTCACAAACAGAATTCTAGGTGCATCGCGAGGAAATCGTGCCGTTGTTACAATCTAGATACGAGGCAGAAATTCGGTGGCAGAGATCGCGTCGAGCACGAGATGCAAAGAGACAGAGATTCTGGAAGAAGGGATGTTGCGTGAGAGAAAGACGTTGCGGGAAGATTGGCTGGAGGGTGCGCGGGGGAGAGCGCGAGATAAGAGATCGCGAGATAGCGAGTGAGAACCCGTGCTACGTGGACAAGGACGGCGCATACACGATACGCGGGAGCGGGTGGACATGAATCGCGGATGAACGGCACAGAGAGAAAGAGAGAGAAAGAGAGAGAGAAAGAGAGAGAGAGGGTGACTGAGTGATCCGTGGGAGAGAGAAAAGGATCAAAGCGGCGGCGCGAGCACAAGCGTGAGAGATCGTGCAAAGGGGAGATAGAGAGCGAGGGGTGTCGGAGAGCGAGCGAGACGTTCTAGGTGGGGAGTTCGCTCCGCGGATGCGGCGGCGAAGAGAGAAGAAACGGATGGAGGGGAGTAAGAGCGAGCGAGCCGGAGGGAGAGACGCAGTCAGACAGTCAGGCAGGCCGCCCGGCAAGCAAGGAAGGCAGGCAGGCAACCAGGCAGGCAGCCAGGCAGGCAAGCTAGCAGGCAGCCAGTGCACCAGCCAAGACCACTAGATCCGCTTGGCTTACCGACTTAGAGACTTAAGCCGGCAGGCAGTCCGAAAGGCTCAACCGGCTAAGCCTGGCAGACCCACCTACCAACCGACTTACGCCGCGGTAGCCACTACGCCGCGTTCCATCCACCGGCAGGAAAATCGGGATACACCGCTGCGACCGGCGGCACCGCCGCCGCCTTCTTATATTTTCCTCCATCACCGTCTCCCGCGCCGCGCTTCTCCTCTCTGACTTACGTTAAGGGCGGAGGTTGCGAATAGTGACGAGTGCCGCGCGGACATCATCATCACGCTCGTGCCGACGACGACGACGGCAACGTCAACGTCGTTGCCCGCGGCCGCGGCCGCGGCATCCGACGACGGTCGCGGGGAGAAGGCCCCGTCGTCCTCGTGTCACGCGTCAAATCGCGTGTAAGTCCACGCACTGGAGCCTCAGAGTGGAAGACGAGATATCGGGAACCGACAGTGAATAGTATAGATCGCGGTATCGCGGAGGTGTCATTCGTTCGTCGCTCGCGTCAAATTATCGACGTGACTTTGATCGGTGACGATAGATTGATTCATGGTGAACTCGTCTTGTTGAAGAGAGCGATTAACAAAAGTGATCGTCGTAGTGTTAAGAATACTGAATGAAATCTGCTTTACAAACGTTTCGCCGAAGAACTCACGCGAGAGACGTAAAAACGTCAATTGCGAAAATTGAGAATGTTTGTAGTGATCGTCTTTATCAAAGTGAGAGCGAAATAGAGTAAAAAATCAAAGAAATAGAAGAGTAAACAGAAGTGAAGGAATTCTGAAAGATATCATCTGTGTGAAGATGATGGCGCGGTTTAATCTACTTGATTGGCAAAATTTATAACTCTCCGCTTTTTTCTTACGTAACGGTGACGGTTATCTAATTTATCAGTCCTTCATAACGCGCGTGTTATCCACGCGCCTCGAGCTACTTTTCAAAGTTTTAACGTGAATTTGCGATACTCTATATAATTTCTCGGATGCCAATAGTGCAAAATATCATGAATACATCATTACATTAAAGACATCTTGATACGAACGGAAAAGCGACGACATGCTCTAACTATCTTTTGAAAAAAATCGCATAAATCACAAACATAGTTTCCTCACAAATCTGTCTCGAAAAACCTCATTGACACCATTACTGACAACCTCTGCGGATCTCCAGCCGACGGAGACTTTGACAGAATCTGGTATATCAAAACTCCATCTTCTCTTTGGAAAAAACAAATCTGATGATTTTCACCTAGCTATCGTCTTTAAAGAACGATCGCTCCGATTTTCACCGACGATACGATTCAATCTACGAGACAAGGGAGACGCTTGAATGTGCCCCTAAGATCAGGCGGCGTGCAAACCGGCGTTAATTCGCGGCCTCTCGTGGGCCAGGTTGATCGTGTCACCGAGTTGTAAGGAACAGTCAACACGACGTTAACCTTCTACAGTATGGACCGGGGCGGCGGGGCCGGGGGGAGCCTCGAACTCGCCGGGGGAGGCGGCGGAGGCGGCGGCGGCGGCGGCGGTGGCGGCGGCAGCGGAGATCTATGTCTTCAGGATCTCGTGATCGGGCCGAGCGGCCTCTCGGTGCAGCATCCTCAGCACGCGGCGACCGCCTCGATGGCTAGCCTGCACGGCGACCATCTTCAGGGCGCGATGCACCATCACGATCTTCACGGCAACTCGCATCACGACACGTCGATGCTGCACAATTCCAGCCACCAGCTGCATCACGAGCCGCTGGAGAAGCTTAAACGTGGTGAGTCGTTTACAATACTAAAGACGATTACGACTTCTCGTGACGCGACGGGCTTAGCACGCGCGATCAGTGATTTATTTGATACAGGCAGGTATATCATCCAATTGTTTTCATGAACAGACAATAATATTTGAGAGAATTACGTGTATCTATTATTGTTCGTAGCAGTTTCTGAATGATCAGATTTTATTATGAATGAGATAAAATAAAAAATTGGCACTTGGCAAACATCGAATCGACTAAACTTTAGTTTGTACGAAAATAATGAGCTTATTAATGTCGCTTCCATAGAATAACTGATTTATCTTGATGCACGCATGTAAAGTGTTGAGAAATAATTTACAGAGCTTTTCCAAACAATGACTATGTCGGATTGCGATTTTTCATATCTGACAATGTAATACACGTGTATATAATATATCGCTTCAAGATTTAATATAATTATGATCGCAAATGTCACTGCATAAAATACATGACATGCAACGAATCGAATTCCCTTCTTTGAGATAATGATGATTAAAAAACGCGATAATGTCACGGTAAAGTGGCTTCGCGAACGAGTTCGGTAATTACAATCGACGTGTTCCTTTGTGTTATATCGATTCCGACGAGATATGAGATTTGTTTCTTCCATATTGTCGCTACATCGCGCATTATCGCGATGTGATCGCTTGTAAGTTGGCTTGTCGCTTGATTTTGTTGTTAGCGATATTATCGATCTTTTTCGATAAGTATCTGACATTTTCCCCGACTTGGCATCGAGAATCGCGTCGAGCATTATCGTGCATCGCCGCCGAAAACCTCATATCGCAGACGTCTCGCTTGCGAAACAAGATTGATATGTGTGACATTGCACAAAAGTAGGAAATTTTCTTTATTCGCCGACGAATGCCGCGATAAACAAACAAATAAATATGCGACAAACAAATAAACAACCGGGCCGATGAAATAATTCGACGAAAAAAAACCAAACGATTCGATCGGCATGATTCAATATGATGTGACGCACGATCGGAAATATTCAATTACACGCTACCTCGCCGATAAACCTCGATAAGAAGGCAAAATTTAATATATTACGCCTCCGTCATTGCGTTCTTATCGAACGATCTGTAATCCAAATGCGTTCATCGCAAATACTTCCAATCTTGCAAGAGGAAACATTGAAATCGAATAAATATTATTTCTTTTATGATCGATTATTAATCAAATTATTGTGTTTGATGCGCGCGCAAAATTCCCTTAAACAATGCTTGTCATTTAGTAAACACATGTAATCGCATATTTAATAAATTAATAAAATTAATAAATTAATAAACAACCTCGTTCACACTTGTGTCAAGATTTTTGTCTGACGAAACGGCGTTGATTCTTGTCAAGTACTAGACGAGCAGAGATAAAATTTTAGTAGGAATAGCTGTGATAAGCACGGCCCCGTTGTGTTATTCCACCCGCGAGATATCAGATAAAACTTCAAACTTATTAGGTGTTAAAATGACAACGTGCCGCCGCTGAAAAGTTAGAAATTCGAAATATTCGCATTTTTATGTATTACACAGGATACATATATTTTTTATGGCAAAGATAAATAATTTTAAGACTATGCGTCATTTAAAAAATTGCTCTAATCTTCTTAGGATTCATAAATATTATATACTCTCTTTTATATTTGATCAAACTTATTATTTCATATTATTTGTGTGTAAAGTTTTTTGACATATTACATTATATACTTTTTCCTCTTATATTTCTTGAATTTTGTTCAAAATACAATTTATAAACTTTATTTATTTATTTTAAGATCACGTAGAAATGCTCAATATTCTTGATGCTACAAAATCTCGATCGAAAATGCTTAGAATAGACGAATCTCAAAGTCGAATTTCACAACACTCCTTGTTCACTATAAAGTAATATTGTTTGTTTGACTGCATACGAATTCATGCGAGTATCTAGCACATGCGGCGATCGTCGAAGACGATGAAGGCGATTCTCTCTGGTGGCAGCGCTACCACCTGTTTTGTGATTCATTAACTCACCGGCTTATCGGGATAAGGCAGACTTATCCAGGGCTCGAACCCGACACTGCGGCTAAACCCGATCTTATTCCAATGGCATCCCACCTATCCCCCTTTCAGTTTCAGTCCTAGATCCGATGCCGACCACTCTCATCACTTAGAAACGCAGGTACCCTTACGAGTTTCATTCTCCTCGCAAATACATCGAATTTTCTTCCAGGGTTCGCTCTTTCCCGACGGTAAACTGTGATTCGATCTGCACATGCAAATAACGTAGATCCCGCGCGGATGAATCATATTAAATCTTATGGTTTTATCGTCGCTCATGAATTCGTTCAGAAAACAAAACTCGTGCAAATTCATTTTGTTAAGTCTTACGGTTGCAGAGGCTATTCACAATATTACTCGCGTTTCCCATGTATTGTATGCGTTCTCGATAATTTTTCATTTAACTATCCTATCATTATCCGATTCGGCTCACTTTCGCTGGACATTATTTGTCGCCGCGCTTGATCGGTCAACAAGTACGACAGTGATAAATCCGGAGCAGCCACGGGCGAATTAAAATTTCTATCAGGAACGCTACCCCACATATTATTGTCATTAATATCGCGGAGGGATTACGCGAGCTCTATTAATATCGGCATGTCGATGGAAATTAATGCCAGTGTCGACCGCGATAAAAGCAACGCCGCCCTCTAATGAAAACGATGACGCGGAAATAGCGACGTCCGGTCCAACGATTCAGACCGAGATTACGGGCGAAATATACGACGAGGAGAATCTCGCACGTCACCGGAAATCTGTCGTACTTCTCTTGGTTGGTCCGACGGTAGGCCCAATATTTTGTCAACAGGGCGGCATACGGTCTAGTCCGATCTACGGCCCCTGTTAGTCATTAACTACCCCTTTATTATCGCGCGGCCTTGCGATCGGACTAGCAGATGCGCCAAAGTCAACCCTTGGTTACCCCTCTCCCGAGCTAATGGTGTTGACAAATTGCTCGGCTAGCCTCTAACCTCCCCGGGGAATGCGCCTGCAAAAGTCTCCTCGCCGCAAACTTATAGGCGTTTAGACGGGAAATTGGACCGCAGAATTCACGTTTCCGCATGTGAAATAAACTTTGTTATGCAACAATCTTGGAAACTTTCAGTTCCTGAACGTAACAAAAGCATTCGTGCAAGAAACAAAATATCACATTTGTTGAAATTGTTTTATCGAAAGACACATACACACATTTGTGAGCCTGCGTTTAAAAACTCGATAATAATCGATTTATTGTGCAAATATTTTAACAAGTATAAAATATATATATGATATATTTTATATGCATATAGAATATTTTTAATTGTAATTAACAGTTACTTGTAAATATTATAAATGATTATTTATTCACGCACTTGAAAAAGTTTTACTATTAGTAGCAATATTTGATTGACGTTGTAATTTTTGATGTACATAATTAATCGAATAATTAACGAATATACTTTTTCGTATTTCACGCAGTTATGTTTTTTTTTTAATCATTCTCGATTGGCAGACACGATCGAGTCTCTCGATGAGCCTGATGTTACGGTTCGAATTTCTCGATCAGCCAGCCAATCGTGGCGATCCTTTAAGCGCCGGGGACCGAACTGGTGGGATCAACATAGAAATGAACTGATTTCCTTCCCATTATCTCAGCTGCTGCGGTAAGGCAGGTCCCTGTCTATCTCAACAACGAGGTTTTGTGTACTCAGTAGATTTTAACCGCCATCGGCTAGGGTAGGCTCATTTCCAAGGGTTGTTTTATTAAGAAAATTTCTGTGCGTGCCGATACGTGAGAACCAAACGATCGATCCATGATCAAAATGTAAAATAAATGTCAAAATAAATATCGTTGCATCTTCAAATTATGAATCACAAAATATTTTTATTACATTATTCTTTACTTTTTATTAAATAAATCGTATCTTTTTATTCGTAATTTATTTCTATGTTTATTCATCTAATATATATATTTTCAGCGCATTATATATATCTTTTTTAATTTTTTATTTTATTATAAAATTTTAATTGCAATTAAATTATGACTATAAAAGAAATTTAGATTTTATTTTAAAAAGTCTTTCACAGAAAGATGATCTGGTTCAATTTTCTCGAGAATTTTGTGTCGAAAGGAGAAACATGTCACGTCATAATTTTTCATTGCAACAGGATATTCAATACCCGATCGTCTGTTCTCGACGTCTTCTCGAATTCTGACCTTCGAATTTTCAGAGCGCCAGGCAGTCTGAACCCGCGGAACCTTTCAATCTGTAGACTTTTTCGAAATATCTTTGTTACGCCCCCAAAGTGTACCAAGGAGCCACCCGTTCTCGAGTTACTTATCGGTTCCATGTGCTTCCCCCGCGTCAAAATGAAATTACACAAATTGCTTGACAAGCGATAATGAACCCTATCCGCAGAGCTGTGGATGCTACTGACATTTTCATGTTAGACAAACAAACTAATCGGTTGATTATTTCCGATCTATTTCTTCTCTATCGCGAAGAAATAGATTTCTACATAAGACGAAATACTCTAAGATAATCTCTTTCGAACACAGATAATTTGAAATACGTTTTAAATTTCTATATAGATATCAAAAGTAATATAAATAGTATTTCTTGTGCTTTAATTATCATTAAAAATAAATATTAGAATTTGTATTATGAAAAGCTACAATAAAGAGAAAATTAGAGTTTATTAATATCTGTGTGCGCATTTCTTTTCTTCATTTTCGATATCTTCCAACAACAGATTTTGTGTAATGACATTCACCGGCATGATGCGCCACACAAGTGTACGTATTTATAGGCGTAGAGCGATTTTAAGACTCCGGACACAAAATACTTTGCTCCGGTGACGCATAGCGCCCGGTTGCGGTTGACTAATAAACGACTTCCTAAGGAAGCTAAGGATTAGGAGATTAGGGGCGGAGACCCAGCGGCAGACTAGGAC